ATTTTAATTATTGATTAATAAACTGTATATTTTATCACAATAAGAACAGATAGGTGATGATAATGATAATAATAGTCATTTGTAGGGTATGTATAGATAATCTTACAAATAATTGATCATTGAATTGTGGACTGATGTTATATTTATCTCGTCCTTTAGTGCTGATAGAGTTTTATCGATCATGCTACAATGTGATCATTATTGTAAGTGGCATGATAACGCATTCACTGTGTTCTGATGATAGGTGACTAAATATAGTCGACTCTATCTAACCTAAGTTTCGTGCTCGTTAGCACTCGTCAGTAAAGCGTACATGAAACCTTGAAAGAACTGGTTCTTACTGTCGAATTCTAACCAGATCCACCTAGTTTCACAGACTGACATTTTACCATGGACCAATTAGGTCGCAGATTAATCTAATCATTGAGTAGTGAGTCCCAACCACATAACATTTCAGCATAATGCATGCTATGTCAAGTTAATTAGATTATGGTCACATTGCAACTTGATCCATAGAATTAAATTAATACTAAAGGACTGAACAAATATAGCATTGACTACAGGTACGCTTTCATGACGAGTACCAACTAGCACAAAACCTAGGTCAAATAGGTTTCCTTTCAACTACCTCCAATCACCTAATGTACATATCCCTTTACAATGGCAAATCTGAACAGAGTTATTTGCTCGTCGGTCATATATGAGATAGAAAACAGGATTTTTATTGATTATTAAGTAATTGTGGGCAACTGCATTACAAGATGTATTATGGAATATTTAAAGAGTGAAGAGTTAATAAATTTAAAACAAGTTTTCGATGATGACTGTTATTTCCCAAAAGAGACTTTGTGTATTGTTTCTTCATAATAAGAAATATTATTGATAGAAAATTTCACAGTAATGCGTTTTGTTCCAGCATATGGTAATTAATGCCCCCAAATGCCCTGTAACGGTCGAGGGTGAGGAGAGTCACTTCTCCCTCTCCAAATGCTCTCACATCGCCACGCGTATACAAACACTATCAGGAAAGTTCTACTCACTGCCTCCTCGAAACGAGGGTGTTGTTTACAAAATTGAGAGGATGAAAATCGGATGTCCAGCAATTCAACAAGGTTGGTGGATATAGATAGTCCACCTAGGGGAGTTGGAAAACCCTCATTTCAAATTAACGGTGTACATGGGTTCCAGAAACCTGAAAGAACAAATGTGGTATGAACCAAATATTGGTCACCGACTACCATCACACTGCATCTCTTAACATTTCTCCACTGTCTTGTGGATTAGACCTTTTTGTCGAAGACTCCGGATGTGGCGCCTTAAGAAAACCACCTGTTTCGGTCTGGGCACCCGGGTAGTATCACAGTCCACACTCAAATCGAGAGACTTGTGTGGAGCATATGTATTCGGTGTCGCTTTGTATCAATATTTATATGTTCATATAAATGAATAATAAATAATTAATTAATGTCAATACAAATAATCTTATTGGTTTTTCAGTAGATTACTGGTATAATAGTGAAAAGTTAATGATTCATTAATAAATAGTTGATTAGCATAATGGAATAATTAACTTTAAGTTCTTGTTGATTACAGATTTTGACGTTCGTACACAAACAAAATCATTTAAACAAAGTGTAACAGCACAAGTAAAACTTTTAAAGAATAAATAAAAGCTTTCAGTTACTCATGTTACATAATCAATATAAAAATTGTATGTGTAACTGATTCAGTTTGATTTTAAATACAAAAAACAAAACGAATACTGAATCTAGTCAAAGGTTAATAAACAATATCTGAACAGAATATAATATAACATTTATTTTGATTATGAGTTGATAATATATTGAATTTGGAGAACTGTTCAAATAGTTCGTGGATGCGCACTGCTGAGGAGTCCCATACTAGGACGAAACGGCCGTCCAGTGCTTCCAGGTTTTCTATGGTGGTCTAGCTTCAATTGGCTCATGATTTCAACTTGTGAAAGTTCAATATAAGGTTAATATTTATTGCATACTGTTGTTAACTTATTCAAATTGAAAGATAAGACATCAAATTCTAATTAAATGACCATTAGATTCGATCTCTTGTCAAGATATAGATGTACATTGCTATAAGATGATTAGATTGAATATTCTGCACTTAACAGAATTAGTTCGATAAATAAATGTATTCAAACAGTTAGTTAATGACTGTGTTTTATTTTTTGCTGTTAGTAATTAAGATTAAATTTATAGAGAGAACCAACTTTTGAAGCGGTTCATAACTCTCATAACATAATATAATCACTATGAATGTATAATCTTTACAAAATTCATAAGTATAATATAAATTCTTTACTGGTGCTCATTGGATAATTATTATAATATTGAATATAACTTATAGTATTGAGTCAATTTGTTAGTCAATAATACATTTGTGATCATTATAAACAAAACAAAATATAAAATATAGAGTTTAAACAGAGATAATGATGGCTATCAGTGGAATGCAGGATGAGCGTCTCTTCCTATTTAAGACCCGTCAGCTGGATGTACCTAAATCTCAGAGTTGATATGTCACCCCGGGACTCGAACCTAGTACCATTCACTTAAAACGCCATCACATTGTCCATTTATTCATTTAATCTCTACATAAAATTATTGTGTCCTAAGGCAATATCGAGGCTATTCGAAAAGCATACATATATGACAATAACCGACTGATCATTTGCAGTCACAAACATCAATGGGACATTCAAGGAACCAACAAAAAAAAGATGAATTGAAATATATACTTTTAAGTATACAACATTAGGAATTAAACTAAACTATAGTGATAACTTTGCATAAGGAGAAAAGAACAAAAGTTAGAAAATAGCATGGATTCATTTGTATTTAAGGGCTTCTGATCAGCTGTAAACAACCTAAATTTAAATGAGTAATATATATCATTATAAAAAAATTTACATACCGTAATCAGTCAAGTTTCTTTCGAAATGACATAAGAAACAAGAAAATGAAACTAAAACAGTTAAGATTGATTTGTATTTCATATACTGAATATGAAAAGAGAGAAGAGGGTGAAGTTGTAAATTATAATAACGAGATGATGAATGAAAATAAATTGTTACCAAATACATGATAAACAAAGCACCTAGTTGACAAAAAAAATCAAATTAATACAGTAAGTGAATATCAGTGGAATTTGATATGAGTCATAAACTATAATAAACAGATTGTAATTGACAAATGTTAGCTATCTTACCATATATGCTTTTTGTATACAAATGTAAGATCGAAAGCGTTTGATGTCAATAGCCTACAAAAAGCAGAATAAAATTGGTGTTCGGTGCTTGTTGATTTATTTTAAGCGTTTTTGTGACATTCATGTTGTGTCCACCAACAATCTTAACTGTTGTTAGATATCATGTTTCTTTTTGTTTCTTATGTACTTTCAAAAGAAACTTGATTGGTTGTGGTATGTAGAAATTTTAATAATGATATTACTAATGTAAATTAAAACTGCTTGAAGATGCTAAGAGGCCTTCAAATATAATCAATTCATATTATTGTGTAAATTTTATTCTCAACGTCATATTTAGATTTATCAAGGGATAAATAAATGTATAACGACAACTCCTGACTAATCAAGTGGCAGTAGTAGGTGAGACGCCCCCAAATGCCCTGATACGGCCGAGAGTGGGGAGAGTCCGCTCTCCCTCGAGAAATGCTCTCATATTGCCACGAGTATATAGCCTCTGCCAGGGACATCCTACTCATTACCTTCTCGTGGCGGGGGTGTTGTTTACGAAATTGAGAGGATGGAAAGCGAATGCCCTGCGCTTTAACCAGGATCGTGGATACGGAGAGTCCACCCAGGGTAGTTGGAAAACCCTCATTCCAAACCAATGATGCACATGGGATCCAGTATCCTGAGGGAACAAATGGAGTATGAACCAATCGTTGGTCACCGGCTACCATGAGACTGTATCTCCTGACGTTGCTCCACTGCCTTGTGAATCAGACCTTTAGGTCGAAGGCTCCGCGTGTGGCCCCCTAATAAAACCATCTGTTTCGGTTTGGGCACCCGGGCAGTATCATGGCCCTCACACATATCAAATGAGATTTGTGTGGCACATGTGCATCTGGTTTCCACTTGTACAAATATTTGTGTGTTCAAATAGACAAATAAATAAAAGTAGATGAGACTGGATTCGGACCTAAAAGTCGACTGGAATAAATACTAGCTATTAGTAGCCTGAGTAACTACTAATACCAATGTAATGTAAATTTCAACATCCAAGAGTGTTAAAACTGACTATGAATAATCACACACAAAATTTAACCCAAGTGTCATCTGTTGGAACTGATAAAAAAGGGATAGCATAAGTGTACGTGAATTTGTAGCTCATCTGCTTTCCAATAATTGATGTGTGCAATATGTACCATCTTTTTATTTATTTGGTAAGTAAAAGTCGAATATATAAGAACATAATTTTCACTTAAGGTTTCAAGCCCTTTCATGTTTTTGGCATTTTCCATCCATAAAGTTGGAAAGCATTAGTGTCATGTTTATAGAAGATACATGTGTAGTGAACGATACCTCAGGTGGGGAAGTGCACAAAAATACAGTTATTTATTAACATGTGAAAATCATACATCAATTGTAGATCTCCTTTGAATTGTCTCTTACAAGCTTCATTGTTCCTTCATTCATGTTGTTATCTTGATTGCTGTCAGTTTGCTTTTCTCTCCACTTTATTTCAATTTTCTCAACCTTCTGCTCTCAGATATTTCATTTCCGATTGGTGCTACGTACTACTTATATCAGCAAATATAAGTAGCAGACACCACATACGTACATAACCTTGGATCATTAAAATGAAATCCTCAGTGAAAATTATACTCTTATATACAGCGTTCACCCGATAAAGGAGCGAAAAACTGCTCAGAAATATTAGATATTAAGCTTTGATTAAACATTGAAAAAAGGATGGTTATCCTTATTTAATAAACAATTCAATGTATTTAAATTTCAATAAGTCACGGTATACAAAGTTATTTACTAGTCATTGAGTCATACTTATCATGAAAGAGTATAACTTATTCAGGTACGTTTATAAAAAGTTTACGGTTTTTCGCTGTACGCGTTACAAAAAAGCCTAATCAGAGAAATCGCGATGGCTGTCAATATGCATTAATAAGAGTGAACATTATTGAGATGTCAATAACTGAACTGGTAACATCTAACTGACGATCACTCAATATTTAGCATCAGGATCGACAAAGAAGTAAGAAACGGAAACTTTTTGAAATACTTTGTACTGAGAATTCTATACTGTACCAAAAATATAATATTGAATAAAGCTGATGATAATAATAATAATAATATCTGATGTAGATTCTAATAACACTCTTAACTTTGAATTTTACGGTAAATTTATACATAAAGACTATTTCCACGTAGTAAACAATATCTTGACCACTATAAGCAACAATGCAAGCATGTTCGGAATGCGATTATCCCCCTTGAAATGCAAAATGTTACTTCAGGGTTGGGTTGCACCTGAACCAATCAATCATGTCAACCGCTTCACTAATCTTGGAAGTCTCATCAGCCCTTGTGGTCTGGTGTGTGACGAAATCTCAGCACAAATACATAAGGCTCGACCAGCTTTTGCCAACTTGCGTCATTTATGGTGTAGGTGAGATATCCATCTTCCAAACAAAGGACGAGTTCACTGCGCAGCAGTTCGTTTCGTCCTACTTTATGGCAGTGAAACATGGCCGGTAAGAGTAGAAGATATTCGTAGATCACTATTATTTGATCATAGGTGTCTTCGAAACATTGCTCGTATATCCTGGGACCATCGAGTAAGTGACGCAGTTGTTAGGAAACGGGTATTAGGTAAGGATGGCAAATCAATTGATGACGTAGTGAAACTTCATCAGTTGAGATGGCTGGGACATATGTTACGTATGCCCAACCACCGACTGTCCCGACGTGCGATGTTTCATTATGTAGGAGTAGATTAGAAGAAAGCTAGGGGTGGTCAGAACAAAACATGGCACAAATCCATGAAGTCACTCACAAGTGGACTGAGCCATGCTAGTACGTATAGACTACCTGGTTGGGATCTGCAAGATGATAACAACCGATGGTTAGAGACCTCGAATAACATTACTCAAAATCGTTTGCAATAGTGTAGGTGAGTCCACTCCTTGTATTCTCACAAATTCTAATCTTCTGAATTCTTCATGTCCCTCATTTTCTTCTCTTTCCAAATTTGTTTCACTGGATTATACTCTTTAAATAACATCTTCAAACTCTAATCTTTCCGATTACTGCTTATACTTTTACTATCTCTACTACTATGTGATTTGAATGAACAATTTTATCTGTGTGCTAATGTGATATGGCAACTTGAACTGATATACGTATTTATGAAGTTCCATGCTGTTACTGGCTGACTGACTGAAAGAATATCTTGAAGTCAATTAAAAAAAGTGGGCTAAAATGTTTTCTACACTAAACAGGTTCATTTGCATTCAGAATTCATCTGTCTATCAAATTAAAAGTAAGCTACAATTATTTTAACTTAGTTTTCAGTCTAAAGATGAATAAAATTTGAACATCAGGCTACATTACAAGATGATTCCTAAGAAACGTTTTAGTTTCACATGTCCTTAAACGTATATTTAGAGAATTTTTATTGCGTTTTGAGACTTATTTTACGCTGGTCCACTGTGTATTGTACCAAAAACATAATAATAATAATAATAATAAAAAATAAATAAATAAATACATAATGACACTTGATGTAATATTCAACTTATGGAAAAAGGTTAAGGTAGAATTTTAAATTAGTTCCATTATGAATTAGATACACAATTCGGGGAATAAGAATCTACAATGTAAGAGAGAGTGCGAAAGAAAGGGAGAGAAACCAAGTACATTATACAAAATCATCATCATCATCATCATCATCATCATCATCATCATCATCATCATCATCATCATCATCATCATCATCATCATCATCATCATCATCATCATCATCATCATCATCATCATCATCATCATCATCATCATCATCATCATCATCATCATCATCATCATCATCATCATCATCATCATCATCATCATCATCATCATCATCATCATCATCATCATCATCATCATCATCATCATCATCATCATCATCATCATCATCATCATCATCATCATCATCATCATCATCATCATCATCATCATCATCATCATCATCATCATCATCATCATCATCATCATCATCATCATCATCATCATCATCATCATCATCATCATCATCATCATCATCATCATCATCATCATCATCATCATCATCATCATCATCATCATCATCATCATCATCATCATCATCATCATCATCATCATCATCATCATCATCATCATCATCATCATCATCATCATCATCATCATCATCATCATCATCATCATCATCATCATCATCATCATCATCATCATCATCATCATCATCATCATCATCATCATCATCATCATCATCATCATCATCATCATCATCATCATCATCATCATCATCATCATCATCATCATCATCATCATCATCATCATCATCATCATCATCATCATCATCATCATCATCATCATCATCATCATCATCATCATCATCATCATCATCATCATCATCATCATCATCATCATCATCATCATCATCATCATCATCATCATCATCATCATCATCATCATCATCATCATCATCATCATCATCATCATCATCATCATCATCATCATCATCATCATCATCATCATCATCATCATCATCATCATCATCACCATGATCAGTTTTTATTACAATGGAAAAACAAACGAACCAAGTAATCCATTATGAATTCACTTCATTCTTCTAAAATCTATTAAATCTATTCGGAAATTGAATTTTACAATCAGTGAAGAAAACCAAAAACTTCATTTATTGCTTAGTATATTTATGACATATAGTCACTACATTTCATACATTATGTAATAATAAGAATAATGTGTGCATACAAATAGAAAACGTGTTTACAAAACAGGAATTGAGAGAAGAAAAAACAACAACAACAAAGAAATAACGAAAACAAAGTGAATTTATAATTGGCAGATTAGATATGGAATATGACGTAATGGATTATTATTTTTCAACCAAGAAAAAAAGATTAGGTAGATAAATGTGAATTTTTGTTTTAACTTAAACTATTAAATATTTATGTTTGAAAATATAAACTTTATTTTAAATATTTAGAAATATATAAGTAAAGATGGATAGTGGTTGGCAGTGGAATATAGGACGTGCGTTTCATTCTATTTAGAACTCGTCATATGGATGTATCTACATGTCAGAGTTGATTTTCACTATGGGACTCGAACTCTGTACCGTTCGCTCTAAACATCATCATGTTATCCAGTTAGCTAGTGAGTCCTGATAGCCACTTGTTTGTGTAATGAGATGAATTTGAGTTCCAGATTGAAAATCAACACTGAGATGCAGGTACATCCAACTGACCAATCCCAAATAGAACGAAACGCGCATCAAATTGGATTTCACAGCTAGCCACCATCCATCTTTGCTTATAAAGCTTAAGACTTAAGGTTATATCGAGGCAATACGCACAGGATGCACATATGTCAGTAAGAGATTGATCAATTGTAGTGCTAAACATTAATGGGAATATTCAAGTAAACAATATCATTATTAAACAGTTAACTTTAATTCAATATGAATGATATTTTTAATGTAGAAAGAGAAAGATACAAGATGATAAAGTATAGATTAATCTATTTGTACATGCTTGTACATGCTTTTGAGATGGTGGAGAAAATTTGTATCTCAGGTGGATGTTTTTGATGGAGTTTTGTTCTCTGAACTTTATTTAGACACAATAATACGTGTTGTATATGTTGTTGAAACAATAATAATACTTTTAGTAAATGCATTTAAATAATAATAATTATCATTGAAAAAAGAGATGAAAGAGAGAAGAAAGTTAAACTTAGGTTATTATTATTGTTATTTTAATTCAGTTGTAAGGGTTTCAATTTTAGATTACTGACGATAGAGACTGTAACTGGTTAGTCAGTTTTTTTCATAGATGAACATACTGAGGAGACTGTTCAAATATCGTTATTAGTCACAAGCATTTTGAAGCAGAGTTGAATAGTTTCCGACTGTGTTTCTTTTTGTTTGAGACTCGTCAGCTGAATGTACTCATATTCCAGTGTTGATTTTCATCTCTGAAATAAGTCAGTGGCTACTTGGAGTTAGCGGCTACGTGAACAAGGTGTTGATGTTTGAAATGAAAGAGACTGGATACGAGCCCCGGGATGAAAACTAACACTGGATCCACGTACACCCCTCTGACGAGTCCTAAACAGGACACAAAACGCGAGTCCCGAATTTCACTACTAGCCACTATCTGATTCTTATTATCATTATTTTATTCAATAAGTTAAGACAACTAAAGTGTATTTATCAAATACCTCAGAAAAAAATAATGATAGGAAGATAACTCTCACTATTACTCCAAGCCAATGATTGGGTCAGAAAGAGCTGTTAAGTTTCTCAATTTCTCTTTAGTGTTTTTAAATGATGACATAGAATTTTCGCTAAAAGTATGTGTGGGAATATATTTTTTATCTATTGAAACCTTTTTCGACCTAGACTAAGTGTATGATATTGTCTCATTTTGTGACAATAATAATAATCAAATGACAAATGCGTCTATAACTATGGTATATACTTCGTACGATTGGAATGTAAAGTACCTCAGCATGACTACAATCACCCAATCATTGGAAGTTAGCAAAACGCTCACGTACTTCAGAAACTGTATGAGGATCGGTAGTGTTTAGGCAAACAAGGTCAAAAGATGAAGTCAGTCGTAATTATCAAGGATGGTTTAGGCTCCATCATGACATCGGCTTGACTGTCAAACATCAGTTGTACGGTGGTTCAAGGCGAGCAGTTTTAAGATTATAGAACCTGACTACTTTAAGTTGATGATGGTCGGTGTCTACCTTTTCCCAAAATTGTCATCTAGTATAGTGTGATGCGTTACTCGACCATATAACATATTAGGCTTTTGTGTGTAATAACGCAGTAATTAATATGAAGATCATTTTCATTATCAAAATGATCAAAGAGAACACTTAAGCTTCGTCAACTGAATAATCAGATATGGTCCTAAATTACAAGTGGTTACGACGTTTGAGCATATACATGTTGAGGTTATCTCAAATACCATATTAGTAGCGTTATCCGTTCATGATAAATTATGTAATTAGAAAATTACAGTCTAAACTTTAGATCCTTTTCTTCTATTGGTTGCTTAAAATGTGCCCTTTTATGATTGATATTCCAAGGTCATGGAAATAACAGCTTTGAAAATCATTTAAAGTCTGTGAATATTGAAAAGAAATATTTTGTCTTATGTTCCACTCTCCTCGGCAGTGGATACCAATCAACTCAAACAAAATAAAAATGCTATCTTCACTAGTAAGAAGCTCTGAAATAGATTGATAAAAGACCCAGTCATTGTCTGAAATGGTCAATTAATGCCAATGGGATATCACAAAAGAAAATATATTTATTACTTTCTCGCTGAAAAATTCCCACCATATTAAAACACCGATATATAACTTTCTACCCAATGCACTAATAAGGACTAGACAAGCATGACATTGATCACCACCCAGTGATCAATCAATTGTGATTACATCTCACTCCTACAGGAGGTTAGTCATGGCTCGGATAGCTCAGTGGTAACGTCTCTGACTGTGAAGCTGGGTGACACGAGATCGAATCCGCCAGGGAGCACCAGTTCCCTCAAGATTACAGGTACACCTTGCTGACGAGTGCCAAGTAGCACGAAACCCGGGTCCAGGGTTTCCTGTTGACTACCTCCAACTACCATCTAATTCTATTTGGGAATCATTAGCTGGATGTCCTGGCATCTCGGAGTTGATATTCACTCTGGGACTCGAACCCAGTACAGTTCACTTCAAATGTCATCGCGTTATCCACTTAGCTAATGAGTAGAGATAGCCACCTACTTGTGCAATGGGGTGAAGTTTAAATTCACTTGGTATTGTTTGCTTGTATCTTCCCATTGTTATTTAGGACTGCAACTGATCAGTCTCATGTTGGTATATGTGCATCCTATGCATATTGCCTCGATATAGCCTTATGTCACAAGCTTTTTAAGCAAAGATGATGTTTGAAGCGAATGGTACTGGGTTCGAGTCCCGGAGTGAACATCAACTCTGAGATACAGGTACATCTAACTGACCAGTCCCAAATAGTACGAAACGCGCGCCCTGCATTCTACTGCTAGACACTATCGATCTTTACTTAAAAAGCTTGTGACCTAAGGCTATATCGAGACAACCCGCACAGGATGCACATATACTAACAAGAGATTGATCAATCACAATGCTGTATAACAATGGGAAGATACAAGTAAAACAACACCAAGTGAATGTGAGGTTTATTTAAGTTTGTGGTTAACATGAACTTACATAATAGTAACAGTAGTAATAGTATTCATGGCTAGTCATTTTTTTTCACTATCAAAATAAAGTCCGCAGGCATTTTTTTTCTGTTTAGCAAGATAAACAAAAAGAAATTCCCCTGAATTTTCATGTGTTTACTGTGTAATTTTAGGATGATTCACTTTTCACAGAAGTAGTAAGTACGAAAATATGCCATATGACTCATTTGCTTTATATTTGTCTTATTTAAACAGGTTTTGTTTATGTTTATTTGTCTATTTTGTATAAGTATTTAAAGTTATATTACAATGTAAAAAAAAGAAGTGAAAACCTGTCAGATTAACCACGTATATAATAGAGGAGTGATTTGTGGTAGCTGTTGAATCTCATAGTTTAAATCACAATCTGACCTTAGTCATTGAAAACTTGGGAGTATTGGACAACTCTTTCATCGTATAATGGGATTCCTTAGCAGTATGTATCCATGATTCCACAGAACCTTCCAGGTCTCGCGGTAAGAGTATATATATATATATATATATATATATATATATATATATATATATATATATATATATATATATATATATATATATGTATAAAGGTGCTTCATAGGGATTACAAGACATTCTTTGTCATAAATTATAATCATCGGAAGAACTATGGAAAAGTAGTGAGTACCAGACAACTGGTTGTTTGTTGTTTATTATGTGTTGGCAGTATCGATCTACGGCTTTCTTTTGGGAATGAACATTAGCATTTTAGGTGTGTTAGTGGATGCAATGACTCTAGATCACTAATAATCCTGTAGAGCTGGAAAATTCAAAAATTAAGTCGGTAATGGCAATATATATCATTTTTACTAACCACCAGATTCATATTAAAAATATCAAACTAAAACAAAAAGATTTTCCAACTAAAAAAAATCTAGTGGCCGATGTGTTTCATTGTCATGTTACATCCTTATGCCCTTAATAGAAAAGAAGACTTGACTATTAATACGACCTGGATTGTTTGTTCAAACAACCACATGTAACTCTTCACTTTCCACAAAATTTACACACACATACAAATCTTAACTCTATCTCTACATACCTAAAGATTTCATAGTTTTCATACACACCATCACACATACAGTTATACACAATGATGTCTCGTCTAGGGTTACCGTGAACCAAAAAATTCTCATGATGCTGGCATAATCGTACCTATTCTGATCTTGATTGAACTATATAAATCTGTGTCACTTTGACTAGATTATTTATTTTCTATGCGCGTTTTATTCCATTTGGAACTCATCTGCTAGATGTATTTTCATCTTAGAGATGATAATTACTCCTGACTGGGTAACGTGTTGGGCATTTGAAACGAAAGGTGCTAGGTTTGGATTTAGAAATCTATATCAACTCTGAGATACAGGCATATCCGGCTAACGAGTGTCAGATAGAACAAACACATCCTAGATTTCGCTGCTAGCTACATTCTATCTTTTCTGCAATGAAGTTATAATTCTGAACTTCATCTTATTTACTTTGATTTAGTCACTTAGTACCAGTGTCACCCATTACACACATAAGTTTTGTTTGCTACCAAATATAAGAATAGCAGCTTTATTTAATACTATAAATGTTGATAAAGTGAAAAAATCTCAGAAACAGTATTGCTACATTACAACAAATATCTCTTGAACACTCATTGGAATTGCATTTAAAA